TTTCGCTCGGGAGGAACATAAAAGCACGCAGTTCATCGTGCGTCACTGTTTGAAATGAAATGTAAAAAACGTGTTAACCCTTTGCTGCCTAATGTTCGGTGTTTGCCCTGTATTCATTTCGTTTGCACTTCGAGCCAAGTGTAATGTAAAAGTTCCTAAGAAACGGTTTCGCGATTATTCGTTAGAGATTCGGTTGTACAAAAGATATGCATGTTCGATGACCATCGATTCTTAACTCTTGCCTTCCATCCCATTTCAGTTTATGCAAACAAATGCAGCACAGCTTAAAGGGTTTACAATCCTGAGGCTTTCTGAAACACTTGGGAAGAATCCGTACATCATTAATTAATGAATTAGCTGTCAGTCAGACGATATGAGTAGCCTCAATGGAGGATGGAGGCCAGATTCAGATTCAAGTTCTCAATCGAATGAGCATCCTGATCCACTCACCACTCAGAAGACACCGAGGAATTATATTAGATCTTCGATTTAGAAGGAAAGAACGAGAATGGCGATTTCAATTTATCTGCGAATACCATGCCATGCAAGGAAAGCCTCAGTGATTGGTAAATGCATCGCTTGCGACGATAATGGAATTCAAAGAACGTACAGTTGCGCTAGAACAACAGACAACATACATGATCTGATGAAAGAAAAGGAGAAATGTTAATATACCATTTTCCACCGACTGCGACGAGAGGATAGAATCTGAGGAGAAATCAATCGAAAGCGACAGGGGCATGATTTAACAGAGGGCGTACGCAATGTATGAGTATTCCAGAATTGTCCAATACTCGTAGCATACGCGTTCCTATTATTTATACCGCTATTTGTCCCGACAACGCAACGTGTTGCAGTCAGATCAACACAGTAGGAGCGTAAGCATTTACAATGTTCAAAAGGGCAAATACAACAATATACCGCGAATGCCTAACTTCTGTTCGCGACCCCACCACACACACACACATTTCGAATGTATCCGATGTCTATCAGCTCAGCGAAAAAAGAATATAAAGACTATATCACGTGGAAACCTAGAAACGAATTCGACAGAGTTTCTTTGTTTTTTTCCCCAATCCCTTTTTTTTTTTTTTATTATCGAGCAAAATCCGCTTGAGGCATGCGTGTGACGCGCGGTTCGAATCAATCGGAAAATGCTATTGTGCATACCGTACTGCTTCACAACATTTTCTACTGTGCGTAATTAAGTAACGAACTGTGAGACCGTTTCACAAAAGCGTTACGTATAATTATCACATTATAATGTCGTTCGCAAACGAGTCCTTGCTCGAGTGTATATTTCGAGTCTTGCATTCTTCTCTGTTGGCTCTTTTTTTTCTTTTTTTTTCTTTTTTTTCTTTTTTTAAATGTCTTCGCTATTCGTTTATTCGAGTAGTGACGTGTACAGAGTAATCTGAAGGCCCGCAAAAAATCGCTATGCGCTGTCGATAAACAGTTCCGTGGTTTTCATCATCATCATCATCATCATCA